GAAAACATAACAAGCCAGTAAATCGACACCAGCTGGATGAAACTAGACGTATGCAACGGAGCTAAAATGATCCTTCTAAGACAATAATAAAAAAGAGTAACAGTGAAGGCGATGCGCATTGTTGGAAGGAAACATCCCGCAATAACAGGAACGATAAAGCACGAAGTCGAGCATCAAAAGGGCCCTCATTCAGGGGTTCTAAAAGGTACTCGCGCGAATCGGGTGAGCAAAGCCAAACAAAGAACAGGTCGGCTAATTTAGTTAAAAGACAAGGCCATTGAAGTGACGATATGCCTGGCAATATTCCGATCGGGAGAAATTACTGGCAAGTATGTTGCCGTAATCTTGAAAACCGGCAAAACAGCAGAATTCCTTGACTGTTCGGCAACATATCGGACAGGCGACTGACGTGCTTAAACACACCACTATGCGCAAACACTCGGTTGCCAAATGACGGTAAAACTCAGCCCTTCCCGTGACTGTGAATCAAGTTGCAGTGGGAATTCGGTTGCTCTCACCCGTAGGAGAACTCCGAGGTGTTCGTTACTACCCGGCGAGTGCGTGGTAAGCGTAGACGAGTTGCTTAGTTTCGTTAGCCACTGCGCCCACGCCCACCATCGGTCGTCTTGACTTTCTTTCGTCATTTCAGATAGGTAAGCGGGGGGAGGGGGGAAGTGCGTAGAATTCTGTGAAGTCTGGTTCACTACAATTTGACTCAGGCAAATGCCACTGATTCTGCGTGCACTCTGTGAGGCAAGCGACGATGGCGACGAATCAGCTGTCCAGTATCTGTTTCCAGCCTTCACTTGTTTTTGTTATGGCCAACACCAATACTGTCACAATCTGCTCTGGAGCACACGATGTCTGCAGCGGCCACTGTCCATTTGGTGTCCCATTCCCGACGATAACAACAAAAAACGTCCATCGTAGTAGTAGAAAACGATGCAGTAGACCACGTTCACACAAACACGGACTGTTTTGCCTACGCTCACTTCCAGCCTCGCCATCGGAACAAAGTGAATGAGGTGGGAGGTGGGGGCGAGTGTGGAAGATGCTACGCAAGTCTGCTTCACTCGAGACTACTGTAAACGCGAGTCCCCCACGCCGCGTCCCCATCTGTGCGACGCGCAATGTCGATTCCCACTTAAGTCGACTTCGTGACGGCGGCATCCACCGCCGATAGCAGCAGACATGTGTAGTGGCAAAGTCGAAAGCCAGAGACATCTCTACCACACCCGCGAGACTCTCGACACGCTGCTACACACGGTAGGTAATGCTAACTGATTCTCAGAATTAACGGAAGCAAATGGGATGACTCAGGGGTCAGGCAACCAGCGCGAAGCAAAGAGTCGAAGACTTTCCAGGCAAATTGCATCAGTTCAGAATTCCCAGAATTCGTTCTGATAAATATTCGAGGCAAAATGAAACGCCATTCTGGAAAAAAGAGACTGAAATGCTTAATTGTGTTCTCAAATCGAAAAAATAGATCAATTAATGCTCACGGACCGATAGGAATGGGACGTAATCTTCCGTCAAATCGCCCCATCCACAGCCGCAAAATTTTTACCTAAATAACATACGATCCTCACTGGATCTGGCGCTCCTAAACTAACTCAAAACCTGAATCTCTGATGATTATTTTTAAGGAAATTCTATACTGAAATTTAATAGTAATATAAGTAAGCCAGGTACTTTTTACTCTCTGTTTGAACATACACGCGTCTTGTGCATGCAAATCAACTGTTTCCGATAAAGTAGATTTACAGAGGACGCGTGCATGCGTGAGATGTGAATATGGGCCAGATGTGGTCATCTACCATTTGAGTCACGGGCCTCTTGATCAGTCGGGTTCATTGAAGATGAACCACGTGATGAACCCTTTCTGTCTGATTTGTTATTAATCCCACAGAATGCCAAACCGAAATGCAGCCACAGTTTGAAAGTGAACTTTTATGTACAAATGTTCTCTAAGTAAGAAGTGCTTGAGTGAAACTGCCCACTGAGTAACGTAGACGGCTGTACGAGCACCGGGACAGTTTGTTTACTGCTTTCAACTTTCAAACTTGTACAGGAGTTCATCGTCGGAGATAACAGCAGCAACAAAGTAGGCGACAATTGTATGAGTGTAAACCAATCAACTATCAGTGGGACACGGCTGGAGTTGACTACGCAGGGCTCTGTACGCCGGCGCCAAAGCGATACATCAATTGATTGAGTTCCCATCTGTGGACCAGGCTTCAATCAATTCTCAGCTTGTCTTGTTTCAGGCGTGGGCGAGTATCTTGAGTACTGCGAATTTGAACTCATGGCCCGTTTCGTAGGCGTGAGCAGCAACTTGTAATAATTCGCCGCCCCGTTGCACTACCAGCTTACATTTATGTATGCGCGATCCGAGCGTTCGTTCAGTTTGAACTATGTAATTACAATGACAGCTTAGACATGGGATGCTATAAACTGCCCCATATTGCTCTTTGGGATTAAGGCAGTCTTTGATTTTCATCACCCTGCTACGCATGGTAGCTTTGCGTCGCTATGCAATTCCAACAAATAGAACCGCAACGATGCGATTAGTGACTTCTGAGACGTCCCTGGTGTATAGCAGAGCGTACCATAACCTCGGGGGTGCTTCTGTTTGGGTTCTTCGAGGCGTGGGCATCGGTTTATAAACGCCTTCGGATATCCCCGCTTTCAGAGAAAACATTCGGTTACTCACAAACGAAGGGGTTTGAAAACGCTTTGCAAGCGGATTGAGACTCAATGCA